CTTTCTCATATTGATATCTCATACTAATCCCTTCAGTGGGAGTCAACAGGTTTCCCTTCTTTCTCATATGTTCACCTTCGCCCATCACTCACGCCATCACTCAGCCAATGAACGCTCGGGAGCGTGGGTGTGGCTAGACTCTCCCCAGTTTACAATTATCGCCCAAAGAAAAAAAAATATCTTCCCTTTTCTTTCTTCCTTTTCTATCGGCCAGAATTCTTATGAATCGCACATCGCGACTATTAAATTTTTATCTTATCCTGGCATCACCTGGAATTCATTAGCGGAATTTTCGTCGACTCATTAACTATGGCTAGTCAACTATTTAACTGGGTGGTCGACTAAATCTCTTTGTCTTTCTCGTCTCAACATTATCGCATTTCCAGATATCCGTTCTCGGCGACAGAAAGTCTGTCATTAACAGTTCGAACAGGTAGTAACAATGATTTCCTCTTCTCGACCCTATCTCCTCATGTCAAGATCCGGACACAAAACCAAAACCAAATGATATCTCCAAAAGATAATCAGTGGCTATTCTTTTTTGGGTGATCTCACTGAAATTCCTTTCCGGTCGCATGCTTGACACAGTTTTGTTAATCTTTTAGAATTCTGTTTTCCTTGTCGCGTCTTGACATTAATTAATTCAGACAGAATCTGAAACACGCTTCTTTTACGAATTTTCTTTTTTCTGCGAAAAAATATCTTTCTTCGTAAATGAAAATAAAATCGTTACCCATTTTTCTTTTGTTAAAAAAAAATAATGTCGCTCGGTATGTCTTTCGTTATAGCTCTTTCTCGCCTTAAGTATTTCTCGTTTTTAATTTCCATGCTTAATTAGTTAGCCAATTACCATAGCTAAATAGTGTCACATTAAGCTAGAATATTTAATGACATAATGGGCTAATTTCTACGGATATTTTATTGTCGTAGAACTGGCCATGAGATTAGTCAAGCATTAACTTGAAAATTAAGATTTATCAGAAATTTTATATAGGAAGACACTGAAATTTTCACGGATCTTTGTAGCAATTATAAATTTCAACCGGTATTAACACTAAATGTTGAGGTAGTGAAAGTTTCATATATGGGAACGTATAAACTTCCCATTACAATTACACACAGCTAGGCGAGAAAAAACAACAGTACTGCCTGAAACAAAATCTGATAAGGGAAAGGCCTAAATGTATTTTTTCGCCAATTAAAAGATTATACACTACTAGCCGAATTACCCGTGCCTTACTGCGTGTCACGCATGATTGATTTTAAATGATTGTTATAATTTGTGGGGAAAAATGTTGCATTTGAACATTACTCAATGTTCTTGCCGATGTGACCTCTATCATCTGACTTTCTCTTTCAATATTTTGGATAGGACTCATTCCCTTGTTCAAATTTAAATTTAATTTTCAGTGGTATTTTGTGCAAAAACAGTTTGATCTGACCCCGTTGTTATGTATTTGATGTAATACTTGATTGAATGAACTGATGAGCAGATTTCAACATTGATATGTCAATTGAATTGTCGCAACAAATATGTATTGTAAGATACTACCCACTGATTGGTGATTTCTTGCTCAACTTGATGTCAATATTGCCTTATTTTGATGTTGATGATGTGACCTCCTTTTTCTGGCTTTCTCCTATATTTTGGATAAGGGCCATTCCCTTGATCAAATTTAAATTTAATTTAAATCAAAGGGGGAAAATTATTAAGGGACTAGTAGGGATCCCATTGATCGAAATGAAATATACTTATCCAAGGATCCTAAGAGTCATGCACTTGTTCAAATTTAATTTAAAGGAGAAATAATTCAGTGAGGACTGATATGTAAAGTATTAATAATGCGTAAGCAGGCAGATAACTAACAAATTCTGATGAATAGAGCGAGCAGCAGAACCAGGCCAGAGATAGAACAAAAACAATGCGGGTTCGTTAAAGACACCGGAACTAGAAACCGGATATTCATGCTCAGAAATAGAAATTCAAATGCAAAAGGACTATTCACAAGCACACGTACGCAAAGGCGTTCGACAGTGTACGCCACAAAGATCTGTTAAAGCTGTCCAGCAAACTTGACATATTCTGGAAAGACATTAGAATAATCAATCACCTTTATTGGTAACAAATCGTTTGCATAAAGATTAAGAATGAATTCAGCAGATATAAAAAAAAATGAAACGGGCGTAAGGCAAGGATGTGTCTTCTCACCGGACCTATTTAATCTATACAGCGAGGCAATTCTGAGAGGATTGAAAAGCCTACCAGGATTCATCATTGGCGGCCATAATCTTAACAACGTAAGATACACAGATGACACAGTGCTAATAGCAGACACGGAAAGGAAACTACAAAACCTCCTACAGAAGGTAACGAACGATCGACTAAGCATAAATTACAATATAGAATGCATGTTCAACAGTAAATAGATGAGCCAAAAATGCGATTTACAGACCGGGGACACTAAAATCAAGCAGGTGCCGAAATTTAAATATCTGGGAAGTGTTCTGACAGAGGACGGTAAGTGCGACGCTGAGATCCGAAGACGTATTGGGATGGCCAAAGACGCATTCAAAAAGCTAGGCAGGGTATTACGAGACAGGAAGATTTCGTTGGTAACAAAGAAAAAATACTGATCTGATACGTGATATCTGTCCTCTTTTACGGCAGCAAATGTTGGACGGTCTCCTCAAAGATAAAGAAGAGACTGTGGTTCTACAGAAGGATGCTAAGGATAACATGGACCGAACATGTGAGCAACGATGATGTTATGGAGAGGATGCAAACAAAAAGGAAACTCATAATTAACATCAGGAAGAACCAGCTGAAATTTGTGGTACACGTAATGAGAAAGGAACGCTTGGAAAATCTGATACAAGCAGGGCGGATATCTGGAAAGAAGGCAAGGTCAAGGGAAAGCAACGCGTGACATACTTAACAGACTTAAGCAAGTAGATGGCGGAACAGGTTCTGGGAGTCAAAGCTTATTGAGAGCTACAAAGGACAGGAGGAAATGGAGATCCATGATCACCTAGGTCCTGAAGGGACACGGCACATAAAAGAAGATATGTCTTTCCAGTCTTCCCTGAGTAGCTTCCTTTTCTACAAACACTTTCATGGTAATTGTTCAGATGAGCTTTCCTCTTTGGTGCCTAGACTTTATGAACGTAAGCGCAGTGCTACATTGGCGGCAAGGACTCATCATTTTACAAATGAAATGACTAGATGAAACCGTAAGTTCTATGCTAATAGTTTCTTCGCTTGCAATTCTCGTGTGTGGAACTCTCTTCTGGCCTCTTACTTTCCCGTCATAATATTTAGTGTCAATCGTCATCTGTTGTCTTCTTAATACCTGTCCTTTTATATATATATATATATATATATATATATATATATATATATATATATATATATATATATATATAAAAAAGAAGAGAGAAAAGCGCAAACGTTTTCGGTTGTGATGTGGATTTTTAAAAATATATATTATACATTATGTTCCATAATTTTGCTACACGGGTTTCGGGTTTGGCGACCTTCTTCAGGCAAAGAGGGGATATTTCCACATATCATAAAAATGAATTAATTTTCCTTATGGTTTTCGGTGTAAAACATACTCTTTTTTTTCTTGGACTGGTGGTGAGAAAGTTCTTCTGCTTAAACGGTAATAAAGCAATTAAGATTGCTCCGAGAAAGGGTGAGGAAAGATATCTGTATTCTTATATTTTAATGACCCCTGTATGTTCATAGATCCATTTCCATTATGGTGTATTGTGTGTGCGTTTTTGCTAGTGTGTGTATATATATTCCCTCTCCATACATACATACATACATACGTACATATTGTCTTATAAGGAATTATATACATATTTATATACATATATATACACCCAAGCACAAACACCCCCCTCACACACACACACATATATATATATATATGCACATGCTTTTTGCCAACATATATATATATGTGTGTGTGTGTGTGTGAAAAATATATAGAAAATAGGAAAGATCTCGTTAGGTAAATAATCCAAAGTTCTTTAGTATTTTTGTTATTATTTTTTTAAAAAATAGTGCTCGATACAAAAGTAGTGCATAAATATAATTATTTATTTAAAAATATGATGATCCTCAAGCGAATTTTTTTTTTTTTTTTTTTTTGGTTATTCCCAAAAAAAATTAGCTTGAAGATGCAACAGAGCTTAGTACTTTAATTCAATTTAATTCAAATAATTATATTGAAGTTTTTGTCTCTTGTTTTGAAACATGAGAACTCTTATGTAGCGTGTTGGAATCATATTCTTAATTAGCTAATTGTCTGTTTGCTACATTGGCATACTTTTAAATTTATAGATGTGTTGGGATGCAGAGAGTTTTCTCTCTGCTAATTTGATATTGCTTTTGTGAAGCAAAAGGAAATGCAAGAAATCATATACAGATATCAGCCAAGCGCTAAACAACGGAGTTTCCCTTCACAAAAGCAAATATTTTCAAAACAACTGAAAAAAATACGCAAAAAGATCTGTTATCTATACTACGAGATAATTTAAAATCTCACCCTGATAATGAAGCGACGATAATTTTAAAAAAAACGATGGGATTAACACAACTTAAATCCCTAAACTATACGATAATGGATCATGAACGTCGAGAGAATTCAGACACTAAAAATTAATAATTAAATATATACCGAAAACCAGGAGAATTGCGCAAATCATAAAATAAAAACCTTTCGTTTCTTTTTAACTAGACTGAAAGTGAAAAATGGAAACCCAAATATACACCCAATTCAAACAAACCAATAGCTAGCTAGAGAGAGACACACAGGGAGACATGGAGAGAGAGAATGGCATCCGAATTCACTAACGTCGATTGTGACGGTTAATAGTCAAAAGCAGACAATCGGATTACAGAAGTTTGGGTCGAAGGCGCCATTAGTACAAAGGGAGTCTGGTCAACAGCAATGGACAGCGCTTCTTTAAAGCGATGACAGGTAAACATGTCAAAGCCATTTCGTTGATGAACACCATTGAGTAAGATAACAGAATGAGAGAAGATGATAGATGCAAACAGGCGGATGCGTATAAAAAGTGCTACAATCAGTGAAATAGATCATGATAGATAGATAGATAGATAGATAGATAGATAGATAGATAGATAGATATGAGACAAACCAAAGTGCATACTTACATACATACATATATGCATACATATATGTGATATGATACAGATAGATAGATGGATAGATATGTGACAAACCGAAATACATACTTATATATATATATATATATATATATATATATATATATATATATATATATATATATATATATATATATACATGTGATCCAGATAGATAGATAGATAGATAGATAATCCGAAACACATACCTACCTACATACATACATATGATACGATGCAAACAGATAGATAGATATATAGATATATAGATAGATAGACAGATAGATAGATAGACACACGTGAGACAAACCGAAATACATACATGCAAAACTATATAAATATATAGATAAATATGATAAGATATGAGATAGATAGATAGATAGATAGATAGATATGAGAGACACTAAAGTTCATACTTACATACATACATATATGCATACATACATGTGATATGATACAGATAGATAGATAGATATGTGACAAACTGAAATGCATACTTATATATATATATATATATATATATATATATATATATATATATATATATATATGCATACATACATGTGATGCAGATAGATAGATATAACCCGAGACACATACCTACCTACATAGATATATATGATACGATGGAAACAGATAGATAGATAGATAAATAGACAAACACACGTGAGACAAATGCATATATAGATAAATATGATAAGATAGATAGATAGATAGATAGATAGATAGATAGATAGATAGATAGATAGATAGATAGATAGATAGATATGACATGCTAGGACACAAACCGAGAAAAAAAGAAAGACATGTAACGATAGATGAACGGATATATCTCTATATGATATATATTAATATATATATGAAAATATGTGGAGAAATGTGTAGCGATTATAAAAACCAAGAGTCTTCGCTAGAGTGGTAGATTATGCTTGGATAAGATAAATTCAAACAAACTGACATAAACAGAGCGACAGTATTTCTATCTCAGCACTTAGCGACGGCAAACTTTTAAAGTTTTTAAACTTTAAAACCATTATTCGTATAGAAGCCTTTACTCAAACAGTGAACAATTCTATCCTCGACAAGCACACACAACATATTCTTCAGCTGTCTAAAATACGTAGCAAGGACTTTGATTGATATGCCAAACACGTTGAGAAGTTTTATATTTCTCTCGATTAATCTATTCTGAATCATTTATCTAATTTTATCTATCTATCTAGCTATACTTATCTATGTATCTGAAACGTTCTTTTCATATGTACATCTAAATCTATCTATTAATATATCTATCTGTTCTTATCTATCTGAAGTTTTCTTTTCATTTGTTCATCTAAACACATTTATGTATATAGGTATTTGTAGTGGAACTAATGTTAATAGAAAATGAGTGCTACAAAATAGAGAAGTTTTTGTTTTACTTTATTTTTACAACAGGAGACTTCTTATGACGACCATTGCTAGGATTATTTCTATATACTCTATTTTATATACAACGCATTCATTAAAGTTACTTTATTTATGCAGTTATATTTGTGAGGGTGGAGGTATTTTGTTTCTTTTTAGTCTTTTTAGTGTTGTCTTTATTAATCCAATTAGACATATTACGCATACAACTATAGCTCAATTTAACTGTGTTTTTGTTGAAAATTTTATATAAGATGTTTGATGGGGGAAAATTCTGTTTTATTATTCTAAAATCTTCTTCCCTATCTCTCTATCTCTCTCTCTCTCTCTCTCTCTCTCTCTATCTATCTATCTATCTATATATATATATATATATATATATATATTTCTCTCTCTCTATCTCCCTCTCTCTCTCTCTCTCTCTATATATATATATATATATATATATATATATATCAGTCCTCTCTACTTTCCCTCTCTGTATATATATATATATATATATATATATATATATATATATATATATATATATATATATCAACCTAGTGAGCCAGGATCTACCTACCAAGTTTGCACCTAACGGATTTTCAGGATATAACTGAAGAGGATAGATAAAGCGACATTTTTATAGCAAAAAAAAAAAAAAAAAAAACAACCATCGTAGACTAAAAATAGCATAAATCTATAAAGGGGTAAAATTAGCATAGAACAAATCACACTATACCTTTATTCTAATAACCCGGCTTTCTTCTGTCTACGCCCGTTGAGAATTTCCGTTCTTTGGTTAAGTAACATGTCGGGATTACTAAAATTACTATGTCTAGTTTTTCCTCCAACCATAGGAGGCAATACCTATTGCCTGCTTTATATTTGTAACATTTCTTTATTATCTCCCGTTTCTTTGTTCGTTTTTGATTTTCCACACATGGTTAGATAGACTAGATCTATATGAGTAAATCTCATGTTTGAAGTTGCTTATGTGGTTATACTATCTTTTTTTAAAAGATCCCTGAGTTGAACCAACATAAACTTTTTTTATCATCACGACCATCGCTTGGTTTATTTCTATATGCCTCTACTTTATATACCACGCATTCATGCTAACATTTGCCCTTAAGAGGCAAGTTGCCTTATTTATGCAGTTGTATTGGTGGTATTTTGTTTATTTTTAGTCTTTTCAGTGTTGTCTTTATTAATCCAGGTAGGCATATTAGGCATATAACTATAGCTCAATTTAACTTAATTTTTGTTGAAAGTTTTATACATAACAAAAATTAATCGTTTGTGTTTTGTTTTTCTTTGAGAGTCATAGAGAAATATCCGCAGCCTTGTGGCGTAAAAAGCATTATCGTCAAGTTGAGAATTGTAATTGGATGCTTCATTCAGCGAATCAAAGCTGTGAGAGACAGTTGTATTTCATCTTTCCGAACAAGTAAACTGTTCTGAAGCGTTGTGAAAATATTCTCATTATTTAAATACTCTGATGGGATAATGCACACGCGTGTTAACTAAAAAAAATTCTTACGAAGCGGCCGCATATTTTTTGCACACCCGATTGGTCGAAAAATATGGTCGTTTTTTTTTATTTTTTTCAAAACGTGCAGAGGCGTTTTTTTTTTGTTTTGTTTTTTTTGTATATTAAGAATTGCGTCAAAGTTAATCAGTTATTTCTCGAACTTTCCTTGACGGGAAATTGCATCATTTCCTATATATTTATGTATGTATTTATCTATCTTTTTTTTTTATCTAAGTATCTGAAGCTTTCTTTTCATCTATCTATCTATCTATCTATCTATCTATCTATCTATCTATCTACCAGTCTGTCTGTCTATCTATCGTTATGTCTCCTTTTTTTGTCATTCCGTCTGTATTCGTCTATTTGGTTTGGTTTATGTTTGTTTTGTTTTACGGCATATCAACCTCAATGGGTTATTTAATGCCGATAAAACTTTTGTTGCTGGTAATATGTTTTTCTTCAAAAATCTATATCTGGCAATAGTTTTCCTTGAAGAAATCTATAGCTGGTAATATTTTTTCAAAGACAATATAGCTGTTTTTATTGATGGTATTTTTTCTCTTTTTAAGTATTGCTGATAATAATTTCTCCTTCAAAAATTATTGCTGGTAATATTTTTATTTTTTTATTACAAAGTATTTCTGGTATTAAAACCTATTTTTATACAAGTCTGCGTGTTACCTATTTGCCCATAGCCGGGACCCTAACAGATGCAACCACCCCAGGTCAGGGTGGACCTGGGAACACCAGCAATTAAGAGGGGGTTCCATGCTCATCAAAACCTCCTGATCAGAGGCCTTGGTGTTGGACGTAGTTTATCGTCTTACCCAGGACGCGGATGTAGTTTATCGTCATACCCAGGATGAGTATTCATCTATTCATTCATATATTATACAAATTCAAAATCTAGAAATGATAAATCCTAAACATATCAAATACTTTAGCGTTGGTATCAGTTATATGCAGTTTGAAATTGAACATAGAATGACCTATGTTCGTGGTAATTTCCTGCCAAACAGCTAATTGCTTCAAAATATTAAATTCGAGTCAAGTACTTAACGAGAGTTGTCAGATGTAGAATGTCATAGGGATTTTACGCATAGTCTCCATCGCTTTCCGAAATGTTCAGTCTGATATATAGAACTCAGATCAATCATTAACATTTTCTTGAATGGAATGAACTCTTTACGTCGTAAAGAAAACAATACTCCATTAGATCTCATCAACAGGCGTTGTAGAAATCATAAACCAACAGTACGAAATGACAGAATCTACAACATTTCCAAACTGTCAAAGCGATCAAGAACTAAAATATTTACGCCATGAAATTTGAAGAGAAAATTCAAACATAATAAAGATGCTACCGTTCGACACTCCTTAAAAAGAAGACCAAAAATGAAGCTTACATCAATACAGAAAATAACAATAACAATTATTGAACTTGAAAAAATATATTCTCCTGAAAAAAATAGTTTAAGAGAAATGGTTTTCAACCAAACTAGGTATTTACTCTGTCTTCCCTCTAAGACTAGTTGTAACACGAGGAAAGCCGAGTGCGTACTCTCAGGCTAGAAGCGAAAATTGCACGCAGCCACCGAGCATCGATCCCTCTCTCTGGTGCAATGAGAGGGCGCGGCCTATTGCAGCTGTTCCGCAGTGCTGGGCACCTCTCAGTATAATTTTCCTCAGTTGCGACTCTGTCCTTTGACGGAGCAACCTCTGAGTGAACTCTGCCCAAAGACGGAGACGCAACTGAGAGAGGATAAATAATGTGTCACAAACTACCTGAGAGAGCAGTTTACAACCAAACTAACGTTAATTGTTTAGTCAATTAATGACTAATATTTTGCTATAAGTGTTATGGTCCGTTTCATTGTACCACGGTGATAGTCCAAGGTAGAAGCAATAAAGAAGAACTCGAACACGTATATGGAATAACAGATATATTACAAACAGGAATATATACAGAGAAGCAGAAAGTGTTGGTACGAACAATCAGGTTTAGTAGTAATTGTCTGAACGCTACTCTGTTTTGGACTGCCTCTGACTCGACTGACTGACTCGCTCACTCTGACTGACTGACGGACTTCTGACGGACTTCACTCCAGACTTCAGACTGAACGGTATTTAGTACCCCCCACACACACACGAGGGCATCATGTGGCACAAGGCCGGTTTAACGTGGAATCTCCGAGCCCGTGGGCTCAGCCAAAAATATGCCCTTTGCGTCGGTTTACCTCCCCAAAAGAAACTTCGCCCTTCGGCGTAGCCTCGTTCGGGTTCCTCTCCGCCCGATGGCAGAGAGTTCAACAGATCAGCCGGTCAGCCGGTCGTCCGATTCGAACTGAACTATCTGCTTCCTCTTGAGGCGCAGTATTTATTACGTATGGAATAGTCCATTATGTTATTATGGGTAAGATCCCATAACAATAAGGGAGCGGATTACCCTACAATTGAAATTACCATCATCTATCTATCTATCTATCTATCTATCTATCTATCTATCTATCTATCTATCTATCTCATTTATATCTCTCTATTTCTCGAGCAAGGTCTATTCCTTAACTATTTTCTTTATTTCTCCTTTACCTCTCTCTCCCTCTCTCTCTCCCTCTCTCTATCTCTCTCTCTCTCTCTCTGCTATACTTTAAACAGTGTGCATCACCTTTCTTTCTCTCTCTTTCTCACTATATATACCGTATATTTTCGCGTATAAAGCTACATTTAAATCTTAAAAATTACCAAAAAAAGAGGGTCGTCTTATACAACATTTACAAAAGCTAACCACAAATCCTGTGATGTGTCGGCACTAGTAAGTAGGCTAGTATGCTTACGCTGGGGATCACGGTAAGGTAACTTATCAAATCTATATTTCAAACTTCGGTAAAAATAAAAATAAAAAAACAATAATAAAAATATTATTATTCAAATTTAGAAAGGATTTATTTAAAATAATGTTCACTCTACACAAGGCCCAGAATTTACTCAAGCTAGGGCGATACAGCGAAAGAGAATTGGGTACATTTTTTGAGGAAATGTGAGGAAGATAGCGTTAAAACATAGATTTGAACAGGATAAGATTGTAGTAATCTAGGAAGCATCCTCTTGGCAATCGATTCCCCAAATAGTGGTTCGTGCGAAGAAGATGTTCATATAGAACTCACACTGCACCAGT